CGGGTAATTGATCATTTTTGAAGTTACAAGGGAGAGCAACTGGTAGAGATCCATGATCATCTTGCATGAAGACCTTGTGTAAATGGATGGAGGAGAAACCCTGGGACGGGTAATAAATGGACAATCATTGCTTGAAGTTACAAGGGAGAGCAACTGGTAGAGATCCATGATCATCTTGCATGAAGACCTTGTGTAAATGGATGGAGGAGAAACCCTGGTACGGGTAATAAATGGACAATCATTGCTAAGAGAAGTTTCAAGGGAGAGAGAAACTGGTAGAGATCCATGATCATCTTGAAGTTACAATGAAGACCTTGTGTAAATGGATGGATGGAGGAGAAACCCTGGTACGGGTAAAAAAATGACAATCATTGCTTGAAGTTACAAGGGAGAGCAACTGGTAGAGATCCATGATCATGGCATGAAGACCTTGTAAATGGATGGAGGAGAAACCTGGTACGGGTAATAAATGGACAATCATTGCTTGAAGTTTCAAGGGAGAGCAACTGGTAGAGATCCATGATCATCTTGCATGAAGACCTTGTGTAAATGGATGGAGGAGAAACCCTGGTACGGGTAATAAATGGACAATCCTTGCTTGAAGTTACAAGGGAGAGAAACTGGTAGAGATCCATGATCATCTTGCATGAAGACCTTGTGTAAATGGATGGAGGAGAAACCCTGGTACGGGTAATAAATGGACAATCATTGCTTGAAGTTACAAGGGAGAGCAGCTGGTAGAGATCCATGATCATCTTGCATGAAGACCTTGTGTAAATGGATGGAGGAGAAACCCTGGGACTGGGGGAATAAATGGACAATCATTGCTTGAAGTTACAATGGAGAGCAACTGGTAGAGATCCATGATCATCTTGCATGAAGACCTTTGTGTAAATGGATGGAGGAGAAACCCTGGTACGGGTAATAAATGGACAATCATTGCTTGAAGTTACAAGGAGAGCAACTGGTAGAGATCCATGATCATTACCTATGAAGACCTTGTGTAAATGGATGGAGGAGAAACCCTGGTACGGGTAATAAATGGACAATCATTGCTTGAAGTTACAAGGAGAGCAACTGGTAGAGATCCATGATCATCTTGCATGAAGAACTTGTGTAAATGGATGGAGGAGAAATCCTGGGACGGGTAATAAATGGAAAATCATTGCTTACAAGGAAGTTTACAAGGAGAGCAACTGGTAGAGATCCAATGGATCATCTTGCATGAAGACCTTGTGTAAATGGATGGAGGAGAAACCCTGGACGGGTAATAAATGGACAATCATTGCTTGAAGTTACAATGGAGAGCAACTGGTAGAGATCCATGATCATCTTGCATGAAGACCTTGTGTAAATGGATGGAGGAGAAACCCTGGGACGGGTAATAAATGGACAATCATTGCTTGAAGTTTCAAGGGAGAGCAACTGGTAGAGATCCATGATCATCTTGCATGAAGACCTTGTGTAAATGGATGGAGGAGAAACCCTGGTACGGGTAATAAATGGACAATCATTGCTTGAAGTTACAAGTAGGAGAGCATGAAACTTGTGTAAATGGTGGAGAGATCCATGATCATCTTGCTTGAAGTTGAAGAACCTGGTAGAGATCCATGATCAAATGGATGGATGGAGAGAAACCCTGGTACGGGTAATAAATGGACAATCATTGCTTGAAGTTACAAGTAAATGGAGAGAAACTGGTAGAGATCCATGATCATCTTGCATGAAGACCTTGTAAATGGATGGAGGAGAAACCCTGGTACGGGTAATAAATGGACAATCATTGCTTGAAGTTACAATGGAGAGAAACTGGTAGAGATCCATGATCATCTTGCATGAAGACCTTGTGTAAATGGATGGAGGAGAAACCCTGGTACGGGTAATAAATGGACAATCATTGCTTGAAGTTTCAAGGAGAGCAACTGGTAGAGATCCATGATCATCTTGCATGAAGACCTTGTGTAAATGGATGGAGGAGAAATCCTGGTACGGGTAATAAATGGACAATCATTGCTTGAAGTTGCTTAGAGAGTTGATCAAGGAAGAGTAAATGGATGGAGGAGATCCATGATAATAAATGGACATGCTTGTTTCAAGGAGAGAAGATCTTGTGTAAATGGTAAATGGATGGAGGAGAAACCCTGGACGGGTAATAAATGGACAATCATTGCTTGAAGTTACAAGGGAGAGCAGCTGGTAGAGATACATGATCATCTTGCATGAAGACCTTGTGTAAATGGATGGAGGAGAAACCCTGGTACGGGTAATAAATGGACATCTTGCTTGATGAAGAGCATTGTTGGTATGAAGGTGAAATGGAGCAATCCTTGGTAATAAATAGAACATCATTGCTTGCTTGGAATGGATCATTGATCATCTTGTATGAAGACCTTGTTAAATGGATGGAGAAGCTGGTAGAGATCCATGATCATCTTGCATGAAGACCTTGTGTAAATGGATGGAGGTGAAACCCTGGGACGGGTAATAAATGGACAATCATTGCTTGAAGTTACAATGGAGAGCAACTGGTAGAGATCCATGATCATCTTGCATGAAGACCTTGTGTAAAATGGATGGAGGAGAAATGGGTAATAAACGGACAATAATAAATGGACAATAGAGATTGCTTTGTATGAAGACCTTTTAAAATGGAGGAGAAACTTGGGAGTAATAAAGATCCAGTTACAATGGATCATCTTGAGATCCAAGATCATCTTGCATGTGTAAATGGATGGAGGAGAAACCCTGGTACGGGTAATAAATGGACAATCATTGCTTGAAGTTACAAGGGAGAGCAACTGGTAGAGATCCATGATCATCTTGTATGAAGACCTTGTGTAAATGGATGGAGGAGAAACCCTGGTACGGGTAATAAATGGAAAATCATTGCTTGAAGTTACAAGGGAGAGCAACTGGTAGAGATCCATGATCATCTTGCATGAAGACCTTGTGTAAATGGATGGAGGAGAAAACCCTGGTACGGGTAATAAATGGGTAATAAAGCTTGAAAATGGACAATCATTGCTTGATGTTTGTGTAAATGGAGAGAGAAACTGGTAGAGATCCATGATCATCTTGCATGAAGAGATCCATGATCCTTGTGTAAAATGGATGGAGGAGAAACCCTGGTACGGGTAATAAATGGACAATCATTGCTTGAAGTTACAAGGAGAGCAACTGGTAGAGATCCATGATCATCTTGCATGAAGACCTTGTGTAAATGGATGGAGGAGAAATCCTGGTACGGGTAATAAATGGACAATCATTGCTTGAAGTTTCAAGGAGAGCAGCTGGTAGAGATCCATGATCATCTTGGTATGAAGAACTTGTGTAAAATGGATGGAGGAGAATGGATGGTACGGGTAATAAATGGACAATCATTGCTTGAAGTTACAAGGAGAGCAACTGGTAGAGATCCATGATCATCTTGCATGAAGACCTTTGTAAATGGATGGAGGAGAAACCCTGGTACGGGTAATAAATGGACAATCATTGCTTGAAGTTTCAAGGGAGAGCAACTGGTAGAGATACATGATCATCTTGCATGAAGACCTTGTGTAAATGGATGGAGGAGAAACCTGGGACGGGTAATAAAATGAACAATCATTGCTTGAAGGTACAAGGAGAGCAAGCTGGTAGAGATCCATGATCATCTTGCATGAAGACCTTGTGTAAATGGATGGAGGAGAAACCCTGGGACGGGTAATAAATGGACAATCATTGCTTGAAGTTACAAGATACATGGAGAGCAAATGGATGGAGGAGAGATACATGATCATCTTGCATGAAGACCTTGTGTAAATGGATGGAGGAGAAACCCTGGTACGGGTAATAAATGGACAATCATTGCTTGAAGTTTCAAGGAGAGCAACTGGTAGAGATCCATGATCATCTTGCATGAAGACCTTGTGTAAATGGATGGAGGAGAAAGGTCCGGGTAATAAAGGCTTAAGGAAAACTGGGAGAATCATTGCTTGAAGTGTGTAAATGGATGGAGGAGAAACCCTGGTACGGGAGATAAATGGATCATCTTGCATGAAGACCTAGAGATCCAAATGGATGGAGGTAAATGAAACCCTGAGAAATGGACGGGTAAAAATGGACAACATGCTTGAAGACCATGTTGGAGTTTGGAGAGCAACTGGTGGATGATCATCTTGCATGAGACCTTGTGTAAATGGATGGAGGGAAACCCTGGGGTAATAAATGAACAATCATTGCTTGAAGTTACAAGGAGAGCAGCTGGTAGAGATCCATGATCATCTTGCATGAAGACTTGTGTAAATGGATGGAGGAGAAACAATGGAGGACAATCATCTTACTCAAGGGGATAATAAATGGAGAATCATTTGCTTGAAAAATGGATGGAGGAGAAACCCTGGTAACGGAGTAATAAATGGTCAATCATTGCTATGAAGACCTTGTGTAAATGGATGGAGGAGAAACCCTGGTACGGGTAATAAATAGGAGATACAAGGGAGAGCAACTTGTAGAGAGATCATCTTGCATGAAGACCTTGTGTAAATGGATGGAGGAGAAACCCTGGGACGGGTAATAAATGGACAATCATTGCTTGAAGTTAGCAAAGGAGAGAAACTGGTAGAGATCCATGATCATCTTGAAGTTACAATGAAGACCTTGTGTAAATGGATGGAGGAGAAACCCTGGTATGGATGGTAATAAAATGGACAATCATTGGAATTCAAGGAGAGCAACTTTTAGAGATCCATGATCATCTTGTATGAAGACCTTGTGTAAATGGATGGAGGAGAGTACGGATAATAAATAGACAATCATTGCTTGAAGGTACAAGGGAAAGCAACTTGTAGAGATCCATGATCATCTTGGAAGAAGTAAAATGGATGGAAAGAGTACGGGTAAATGGATGGATGGAGAAACCCTGGTTGAAGGGTAATAAATGAGAAACAAAAGAAATGGAGAGATTTGAATGGATGGAGAGAAAGAGATAAAGGGAGAGGAGATGGAGAGAAATAAGATGATCAATCTTGAGAGAAACGGATAAAGGAGGAATGGACCTTGTGTAAATGGATGGGATAAATAGGAATGGATGGAGATAAAGAAAAGGGATAAAGAGGAATGGATGGAGAGAAAGGGATAAAGAGGAATGGATGGGAGAGAAATGGATAAAGAGGAATGGATGGAGAAACGGATAAAAGGAATGGATGGAGAGAAAGGGATAAAGAGGAATGGATGGAGAAAGGGATAAATAGGAATGGATGGAGAAAGGGATAAAGAGGAATGGATGGAGAAAAAGATAAATAGGAATGGATGGAGAGAAACGGATAAAGAATAAATAGGAATGGATGATAAGAGAATGGAACGGATAAAGAGGAATGGATGGAGAGAAACGGATAAAGAGGAATGGATGGAGAGAAACGGATAAAGAGGAATGGATGGAGGAATGGATGGAGAAAACGGATAAAGAGGAATGGATGGAGAAACGGATAAATAGGAATGGATGGAGAGAAAGGACAAAGAGGAATGGATGGAGAGAAAAGATAAATAGGAATGGATGGAGAGAAACGGATAAAAAGGAATGGATGGAGAAAGAGATAAAGAGGAATGGATGGGAGAAAGGAGATAAATAGGAATGGATGGAGAGAAACGGATAAAGAGGAATGGATGGAGAGAAAGAGATGGAAAACAGGAATGGATGGAGAGATAAAGAGATAAGAGAATGGATGGATGGAGAAAGAGATAAAGAGAATGGATGGAGAAAGAGATAAAGAGATAAAAAGGATGGAGAGAAAGAGATAAAAGAGGAAAGGATAAATGGATGGAGAAAGAGATAAAGATGGAATGGATGGATAAAGGGATAAAGAGGAATGGATGGAAAAAGGATAAATAAAGGAATGGATGAGATGAAGGAAGCGGATAGAGAGGAATGGATGAGGATGCCCAATGGATAACTTATATATGCTATATACCATACCCATGAACACTAATGGGTATGTCCCAATCCTCATAAATACGTTGGACACTATTTTAAGAGGGGGTAGTATGCTGTCTAAGTAGTCCACACTAGCAGTGGTTTACCTAATGGCTGCCGTAGCATATTGTATTTTGTTGATGTTATAAAGATTACTATTTCATTTCCAACCTCCATTTTGGTTATTCCTCATTCGCTAACCTTTTCTAGGTTATAACAATATTAGAGCATTTGCTGCCTGTTTGATTTTAAATCAGCCCACTGAAACCAGAAAATGATTTTTTATTTGTTTTTGTATGTTATCCATGAGGAGTACAAAATTTTAAAGCTTTTAAAAATTGGCATTTTAAAAGTGTATATATGTATATATATCCAAGTATAATGTGTGAGGTGTTGGGTTGATTTGAACCTTTTAAAACTCTTTATTCTACATTCAACACCTTTCACTTGATAAGACACCAAAAGTGTTGAAGTAATAATAGCTGTTTTGTAGTAATTTTATAAGATATATATATATATATATATATATATATATATATATATTTCATTAAATATATATATATTTACAATCAAAATTGGTGTGTTAGTTTCATGAATAAAAAACATTTAACAAAAAGAACATTTTATCTGCTTTTTTTATGACCTTTTTCATTACACGGGCGGGGATCCCTCTATTTGTGTTCAATTATTATATTTTTATAGCCTTCATTGGAACAGGTCGAGACATTCTTTACAATGACTAAAATCGACAAAACATGCTTGCATTATGTTTTCGTTGAAGTACCTGTTTAAATCTGGTATCAAGAATCTGAAAAGGTTTTGTCAAGCTTTTGGTAAATATTCTTTGAGTGGCACACATGTTTCAAAACTAGTCAAGTGCCAATTAAGGATGACCAATCAACAGTAAAAATAGCAGAAAATATGGAAATGATTTGTGAATTCATCCATGGAGACTGCTGACAAATAATCCATCAGATCTCTTTCAAAAAATTGGAATCAGTTGCAGGTGGGGATCTTTTTTTTATAGAATTGCTCAAATTATTTTTGCTGTGAACAATGTTAATACAAAGGGAAATTATTTAAAAAACTAAATTAAATAATATATGAAAATATACAGTAAATACATTTACATAATATATGAAAATATACAGTAAATAAATTTACATAATATATGAAAATATACAGTAAATAAATTTACATCTTACTTATTATAAAACCCAAGTTGTGTGTGTGTGTGTGTCTGTACATTTATATATTGGATCAGATTTCCTACATTTTCAACCAATTTCAACAAAACTTCACAGGACTACTTAAAATTACCTTTGCAGTGGTTCTGACAGTCAAAAATTGAAAAAAACACAATTCTTTTTGCACAAAATCAATTTGAAAACACGATTAAGAGTCATTTAAAGAATGAAAGGGGACAACTCATATCGAGTTATACTTATTATAAAACCCAGGTTGTTTGTGTGTGTGTGTGTGTTCGTTTTATATATGGGATGGGGATTTCCTATATTTTTCAACCGATTAAAAAAAAACTTCATTTTTTGTTTCAAAGGTAGTGTTTCTTATTATCTTGCACACTTTTTCTTTATTTTTACATTCAAAATGCTTTAAAAATTCCATTTTACAAGACAATTGTTTATAATAAAAATTTATTCAATCAGTAGACTCATAACGATTGAAAACAATATTTTTGTTTGAATTTGGGTTTGACCAATTCGTAAAAAAAATAATAAAAAAAACAACAACCTAATTCAGACATGCATGTCCATCAACTTTAAACAATAATCTTTGTCAATTTCATTTTTCAGTCTTTATGATGGTTGGTATATGATTTATCTCTCACTGTTACATCCCCGGGCAACACCGGGCTCTACTGCTAGTAATATATGAAAATCCATGAAGTGGACAAAATTTAAATAATGTATGAAAATATACAGTGATTAAACTTAAATAATATATGAAAATATACAGTAAATAAATTTAAATAATATATGAAAATACACATGAACCAAATTAAATAATATAGGAACAAATTTAAAATAATATATGAAAATGTACAGTGTCTAAATTTAAATAATATATGAAAATATATAGGGACTAAGTTTAAATATGTGAAAATATACAATGACTAAATTTAAATAATATGTGAAATATATTATTTATTGGAGTTATGGTATAAAATATAAAAATATACAATGACTAAATTTAAATTACGTATAAAAATATATGGTGACTAAATTTAAATTATATATATATGAATATATGGAAATGAAGAGGGATGGGGTGAACCAAGTCAATTTTACCCAAAATACTCTACACATGAACGAATACCTACAAAGACGTGTGATGGGAACTGGTCTGGTGCTAAGATGTGCAGCAACTGTACAACCATCTCTGGTCATTGTACTCATCAGGATAAGAAGCAGTGTGTGTGATGAGTAAACTGTCACCATTTTAAATCTTTAATTGTGCGCATGCATGTCGATTGTTTTTTATTATGTCGACTACACAGTATAGTAGGATCACTTGGGCATCATTTGTGAAAAAAAAAGGACCAAGACACAATTCACTCCACCAGAAAATTGGAAATGGTATGCTGTATTGATTGACATTCGTGCTGAAAGCTCCAATACAAACATTTCAGAGTGCTTGCAGAAGATTCAGAAAGAGTTGGATGAGTCTAATGGTGATTGCAAAAGTATGGCAGCTCGAAAAACTGACTCTGATTGTTCTGATAAGAAAAGAACTCCTGAACTTGTTGCTGAGGGCCTCAGACTCAACATGGAAGCCTATATCAAGTGCCTTGAGGTGGTATTGCTGCCCGGAGTTAAGTGGGTGGCTGTTGAAAGACCCTATGTCTGGCAACAGGACACTGCACCATGCCACATTTTTTTCAAAACAATCATGGCTGTAAGACAATTTGTGTTGCAATCATCATCACCTTTTACATCTTAAACCTAACTCCTAAACCAACTGAACACAATCCACATTATATGTGGGGTGCAGTTGAGTAAGAGAGACACAAAACTCCTTATAATACTAAAAATGAACTGAAGGCAAGGATTATGGCAGCATTCACCAATTTAAACAAAGAGACTGTCCAGAAAAGTTTCAGGAGATTCCAAAGTCATCTGAAGGTCATGGTTGAAGCCAATGTCAATTTATTGAATAAATTTACTCTTTAGTAGCTCAAGATATTTTAGTGTAATTTTGGTAAATAAATCTTTTAAAATGTCACAATTTCCATTTTAGTGGAATTTAAATGACAATTTATCCATCGCACCCTGCATATGGTGAGTAAATTTAAACAATATATGAAAATATACTTAATCAAACAAAGTTATATTCACAAAATATTTTTTAGCAATTTTAATTTTATTATTTTTTTATTTTTTTTTTTTTAATATGGGATACTGCTTATAGTTTAGACTTTTATAATACCAACTCCACCACCATCAGGACTCCTACAAAATTTTGGGGATTATCTTCTTGGACAGACAAAGAACGTTTCTGCAACACTATATATTATAATTTATTTATCACAAAAATCGGGATCGTTCTATCAGGACAGTACACGGAATTGGTATATTTCAAAAACAGAAGACAAAAATTAACAAATTCAATTGGGGAATTAATTAAAGTCCCTAGTTGTTTCACTTGAAAATGAAACAGAACTAGAACTTTAAAATCTGTAGATTTGCATTGAAACTATTTTAAAAATAAAAATATTAATAAGAACACCAGGTTATATATCTTACTGTTCTTTTCTTCATTATAATATATATATATATATATATATATATATATATATTTTCAAAAAAATATTTACTGCTATGGTTTTCTAAATGATTGACATATTGAAGTCTACAAGTTCGTATACATTAACTTTTAATATCTTATGTGGAAGTCAAAATATTCAAAAAATTAAATATATTACATATATTCCACAGTACTCAAAAAATTAATATATTTTCATCAAAGTTCACATATATATGCACACACTGATACATTATTGCATAAATAAACATACATTTCTACATAGATACATACTCACACAAATAAATGCATGTGTGCATAAACACAGATACCTACAAGTATGTAAGTGTATATGTACATGCATCCATTTATAAAAATATACACACATTCACACACATCTAGCTATACAAAATTTTCATCTACACAAAACACAAAATCAAAAGGTGCCTGAATGTATTAATGAAATTTTATTCTAATATCTAAAATTATATATATATATATATATATATACACACACACACATACAAAATTAGGAGGAAATTAAAATTTCATCAATAAAAAAACAAAGACAGAAAAGGAAAAGATTGGGCAGGAGGAATTCCATCATTGGTACAAAATGGGTTAATAGCTTTGTGGGTTTGGTTGCCAAAAGCCCGACATAAATTACACACTATATAAAATGCAACATCTACATTTAGTTGGTCAGTACAATTGATATTTACCTTGAATATGGAAAGGAGAAAATAGTCAGCAATAGGATGAGCAAGAAATCGACCATGATTAAAAAAATTTTTGTACGTGTTAGGTACATCTAGACTGGCACAAGGACAAGAGAGGATTAAAATCACTAGTCTTAATGATCATCTATATTAACTTGATAACCAGTGAGAAATGGCAAAGTAACCATTTATTAAATTTAGTCTGGCACAAGGTCACAAGTGTAGAGCACCTAATATAAATAAAAACATTATTTCAGTAGTAGTGATCAGCTATGTTAACTTACAAACAAGTGAGCAATAGCAAAGCAACCATTTATAAAATTTAGTCTGGCACAAGGTTATAAGTGTAGAGCACCCAGAATAAATAAAAATCATCTCAGTTTTAATGTTCAGCTATGTTAACTTGCTAACCAGTGAACAATGGTAATGGCAATATTAGCTGTTTCCTTATAAGGAAACATTCAACATTTATTGATCAAGCAGTTTATACTACTATTGTTTGAAATTTATAAAATCTTTATCTTAA